CGTGCCATTTCTGGACAGTCTTGGCCCTTCTGGCTATCCCGATGGATGGATGGTAAATTGGGGCTTCTGCCCTCCAAAGGAAAGAACTACAAAATGCAAGTTACACAAATACAGCAAAAGCTGACACTCTCCATTATAAAAGCCAAAAGGTGTGTAGATTAGCATGTGTCACAGAGTGCATGTGAAGAAATGGTGTATTTTGGTAAATTGCATACGGTGCACTTTGCCTAAAAATGATGCCGTTCAATAGACTTTAGGATCCCTTAAAGCTCCTTGATCTCATATAGGAACAGTGCAAGGTCCTGATGCAAAATAAGCTATGATAGGACACATACATGCCCTTTTCCTACCTCCCGCCTTACCGTTAGCACTGCTTGTCTATAGTGATGGTTTACACACTTCTGCTTTCATTAAATAGTCTTTACTGATTTCCCATATTCAAATCAAGCCATGAATCTATCAACGTGGAATCAAACTGACACCAATAACATAACCCAGCTTGGTCAGGATAAAGGAGCGACCACACTGCTCTATAAAACATAGAAGCATCTAATCTTGTGTAAAATCACGCAGGTTATGGATTATAGCTTTAGATCTGCATCCTGCTCAAATGTTGCTTATCTTTCTAAATTTTTAAGTCTTTTAAATGTTATGCAAGCAGTCCTGCTAAATCCACTGAATTAAAAAGATCCCTGGTTACTTCTAGTTCATTCTTTTGCATCTGTGGTCATTCTCAGGGGAAAAAACACGTGAAAATAAAGCTGCAAAGTATGAAAGGCTTATAAAGCCATTATTTTTCTTCATCTGGTTTGTCAGGCTGGATTTTATGAAACAAGAAATTCTTCCTTATACTGTATATAGTTGGCATTATTTTACTTTTTGTAATGGGTTTTATTCTGTGACATCCCCACAGTTGTGTTCATTGATCTCATCTCTGCCTTCTCTCAATGAGGTGACCTTACTCAGGAATAATGCAAAACAAGACAATACAGGTCAAGCAGCCTGAAAACATAACAGTGACGTTAATGTAAAGACCAAAACAAGCAATGGATAGAATTACTTACTATAGAAATTAATTACCATAAAACAAAATGATATGAACTATAAACAAGTCCCAGTAAGGTAGGCAGTAAATGACTGTTTCCTTGTTTTTCAATAAAATCTAAAGAAAATAATACACATTTTGGGAACAACAGCGTTCTCCTTGGAGTTGAAAACATTTTCTAAAAGGTTGTCATGGTTGTTTGCCTACAGTTCAAGTTATTGACATAACACTTTATAATTCCTTTAGCACTTTGGAAATTTGGGGCGAAGCATTTGAGTGATTTCTAAACTGACATAAAACCTCTGTCAGTCTATATGGTCCTTTCTCTGAGATACAGGAAGTGAGTGCAAGTAAGAACTGATATACGATTTCAGTTCTAGATAGATACTTCTGGCAATATAGTATATTTTATGGCAGCAGTTGAAAGCATAACTTTAAAATAAAGTAACTTTCTCTAATCCAGTCTTCCTGCTGCCGAAGCTGGTTGTTGCTCCTCTGTGAAGGTCCGAGGTGGATACAGTCGGGAAAATCATGAAGGACACTTGCGCCAAAGTGCTGTCCAAAAAGTGCTCGCAAGTTAATAGTTTATTTAGAATAGTAATCTCCAGATTTTCCAGTTCACCTCTTAGGAACTACACATTTCCCACAAACCTTTGCATGGCAGCCTACCAGAACTGCATTTTTTCCTTCAAGTTTAATCTGTATGACACACAAGAACCTGCACCCCTTTATATGTGTGGTGTTTTATAATGAAGAACTTCATCATTTCACATTTAGGTAACTGGTTTTTTGTAGTTCTTTTCCAGAAGGCTTTAGTCCCAATTTTTAAAAAGCTTCATCCATGTGTGTTTCTGTCCTGTAATGATGTTCAGAATAGCTAAGACGCGTCCTTTTTTCACCCTAAAGAGTGTTCCCATCTTGTTATCTTCTGCTCTTAATGCCAAAATCTACCCAAAATCCTAAAATGGAGCAAACGATTCTGTGGTAGAGCTCCCTACCTGATAATGATTTTTTTTTTTTTATGTTAAAAAGTCTATTAAATGTCTTTTAAAATATAATTTACCTCCATAGTAAAATCAGCCAAAATAAAACTACAACATGGATCAGTGTCCTCAGCCTGAAATATCATCCAGCAATGACATCAGGATTGGATCAGACTCAAATATTACATCAGGTTCCAAGAAATTCAGCTGTTGTCCATTTTCCAGTTTGATTTACCCCAAAATTGAAAAGTTTAGGTTTTCTGAAGCTGTTAAATACTCTGAGCACAAAAAAGGCACAATGAGATAAATGAACTGCTGATACGTGAAAAACGAGCATTAAAGTAGATTCTATGAAGACAGAGTAAAAGCAAGACAAAAAAATTTATTAGTTTACATAAAGTTCTAGAACCTGCATGCACACAAACCTGAAATCACTCAGTGCAACATTCTAACCATAAGTATGTAAATACAGCACTTGATTTCACTGCTTCCTTTATGGATTCACATCATAAGCTGTGAACCATTTTTATTACCTCTCAGAGTTTCTCCATGTTGGTATAGTTCTCTCTGTTGGTCTCTCACAGCTCTTTCTAGAGCACTGACCTCAGCTGTTTTTAAACATCTCTCTCTTTTTTTTTCCTGACCACACAACACATTGTGTCACAGAATAAACAACAGCTCCGCACAGTCAGACTGAATTGTAGATTTTTCTAAAAAGTAGCTTCTCGTTCCGTTCCTGCCATTTATCACAGCATCAGTGTTTGCTTTAAAGAACTGAGTACCAGCAATTCCCCTCCACCTGCACATCATTTAATGGATTATTATATTTTGTGAAGTGAGACTGTTCCCTTTTGCAATTTTGGGCAAATTTATTGTCAGGAGAGCTGAAAACGCAGCTAATGACTGACAGTTAACAGCTGTTCGTTTACAAGAACCTCAGATTATCATAGAAAATATAAACAAAGGGCTCATTTTAACTTGAGTAAGGCTCAAGTTAAAATATCATGATGAGAATATTGGATTCTGAAACAATAAAAAAGGCATTTTTCCCTAATTTAAACATTTAAATCCTTACAAAATTCCAATTGGCTACCTGCTGCTCTATA